TATGGGATTAAGAGGGGGGGGATCAAATTGACCCCCCCCCAACATATCCTGGTTTTCAAGTACCCCAGCAAAGATAGGGTTAAACAAAAGAGATAAAACAATGAAAAAAAATTTAATTTCACAATATCATCCAAATACAGCATTAAGTATTGGATAATTTCTATAGTTCCTTGTAGCTGATAATCAATTCCTATTTATAGTAATATAGAGATATTGTATATCACTCCCCATCTTTTGGAATACTTAGATATAAAATTTGGATTTTTTTCTGAAAGATTTTAGGCTCCATGAATTTTCCCATGAAATTAGAATAAGGTAAACTGAATCTTGATATTTTATAATTTCTAATGTTGTTATTTTATTCTGCCTGCAAAGATAGGCTTCATTTCTATTGATAAACAAGTGGGAGATATCCAGACATTCCTGTTTTTACCTGAACAGAGAAACAGAAGAAATCAATAAATAATTATGTTCGTAATTTCGAGTACACCGAAAAATGTTGAAAAAACTAAATTTTTGCTCGATATAACAAAAACAATGATCTATGATCTATATGTATCAGCTTTTGCTTCCTGTATAAAAATAGGATGCTTCTAATAAAAAAGGCTAAAATATCTAATAAATTGGCCCATGTAAATTTTAGGTTATTATTGTAGATTAAATTTTTTTTTCTAATATGTAAATAACTGTATATGTAAATCACAGGCAGTCATAGTACATTTGAATTTCCGAGCAGGGTCAACCTTTCTGGTCCCGGTTTGTACTGCATGGGCCATTTATTGGGTAAATGAAGATGATAAAGCAATAGGACTAGCTGGTGCAACAAGGTTGAGCAGTCCTATTTAATTTACTATTTCTGAAGACAGAGGTGGGTGAAATATATTGGTTTTTGGCACACATCTGAGGTGAGATTTTAAAGGCTTAAACCCGAGTAAAACCCAAACTTGGGCTTAGATAGAACCCAAGTCAGGATTGGTTCTGATTCAACCAATGAGAGACTGTAGCAGACAGGATGCAGTCAGATCAGCTGTGACAAGGAGATGTAAATTTCGAAAATTCAAACTTTATGTAGATACATTATTTTCATCGCATGTTTATTTTATAAAATTAATATATTTGACACCACAATAATTCCCAAGATTTCAATTGTTCAAAAATAAAATTTTTTACGAAATTTACGATCATCAGCTGCTGAGGACTCAAGCCTTACAGAGAGAAAAACCGAAACTCAAGGCCATCCAACACCCAGGTCTTGACTAAAGCTTTACTTGGGTCTAAGCAGAGGCAAAGACGGGGTATTACTTGGGCATAAGCTTTTAAAATCTCATCTCTGATCTCAAAACATTGTAAATAACCTTGTATTGTTTGAAATTATTCTGATTTTAGAAATTTTAATCAGCCTTAGATTATTTAAAATATCTCTGAGTTAAATTATCGTCCCTAGTAATTCTGAAACTTCATTTGTTTAAAATAACTCTGAGTTAATGAAATGTAGAAATTTATGTTGTCCCTCCAATTATAGAGTGGTATGTCCGATTCAGTAACTTAAAATTTTTGAATATGATTAGAATGTATGAGATATAATGTTTTTAGCTTTAAAAATTATTTTTTTTTCATTGTGGTTTCTATACAAATGTAACTTGTGGATTTATGCTTCACAGACAATGAAGGAAAATGTGAAAATTGAATATATTTCGAGCTACAATATTTCCCACAGGATTTATCATATAAAGGGTTAAAGGATACCTTATTAATCGGAAGTTCATATGACAATGACAGTCCCTTTAAGATATTGTATAACTAACCTTCAATTGTTTTAACTAAATTTGAGTTTGCTTCAACCAGTAGTCCAGTCCAATTGCGTTCCAATTCTTTTATCAAAATAAATAGGTAAAAAATATGCAAAAATGTGTAATTTTTTGTTAATTTACCAAATAAGAGTGAATTACTAAGTTTCTCCCCATCAAAGGCCCCAGCTTCAATGAAGAATCCGTTAAACAAAGAACCTAAAGAAAAAAGGGTCAAACATAATTGTGGTAAAATGATATCCATATTGAAATAGTTGATAAAATACTGTTTTTAAGGTTCTTTTAATTTTGACCCCCTGATTTCAATATAAACATTCATCTTGTTTAATGGGTTCAGACTCTATACTAATTCTTTTTTTCGCTAATTTATTGCAAAGAAATTGAGTCTTTGCCATAAACTCAAATTTTCTAATCCTTATATTATCTCCACAACTTGCAGGTTATGTAAACCATAGGTATTTAGCGACGGCTAAATAAAAGACAAAAGTCTGAAAACAACAAACTATATTTTTGTATAAAAAGAACAAAGAAATAATGATATCAAAGATGGCGACTTTTTATATATCACACATGAGTTTATATGAGGAAACTACTTGCAGACATTAGGGCGGAAAGTAGGACGACTTGTCCGCCACAGGACTCCCCCCAGAAACCAAGGCCGAGAGACTGAAGGCGGAGGCAAGATTTCTTGATGAACTCCTTGCTGTTCTGTGAGGATTTCTGCAAACAGGCACTGCAGGCTGAGCTTGAAAACGGACTTTCCTGACAACTCAAGGCGGAGCTGAGGCGGATGTATTTGGTTTTGGACCCTGAGGGCGGAGGATAGGACAACCACTAAGCAGGAGGACTGGTGGGAATGATCGTGGAGTCAGATATAACTGGTTTGAGTCTGTCAACAGATACCACATCAACCTTGTCACCAATCTGGAGGCGGAAGAATTTACTTTGACGTTCCAGCACTTTATAAGGACCTCTGTACAATGGAGAGAGGGCGGGAACGGAGGCATCTTCAGGAACAAAAACAAAATCAGCTTGGAGAAGACAGTTTGGCAGAGGTTTAGGAGCAGCGGGAACCACATGAAGAGGGGGGGGGGGAGGAGAAACCTGATGAAGCTAACTGGATTTTCCTCAAGAAAGAATCTGGTGGGAACTCTGGAACGCTCAGAAACTCTCCAGGAACGCTGAGGGCAGATCCGTAAACTGCTTCTGCTGATTATAAACCAGTATCTTCTTTAGGAACAATACAAAGTCCCTGAAGAACTAGAGGCAGATGTTAAACAAAGTTT